TTTTCTTCCTGGGTTGGCATAAAACATTGAGTTAGAAAAAAAAATAAAACCATTTAACTATTAAAAAAAAACAAAACAAAACATTGAGTTGGTTTTCTCCCCCATCCTCGCAGCAATTATGGACAACATAGAGTGGTTCTTTTTTCTAATAGCCTCCTAATGGAAATAAATTCTATCTCTTCTCTATTTCTCTATGCTCCAGGAAGCCGCACCTAAGCCACCAGCTCTTAGAAGTCTTAGAAGGCCCTGCTGAGCACGGTGAGGAAAAAACAAAGCCAAAACTTAGAGGAAAGTAAGAACTATTTGTAATTACCTCTATTTTTCACAAAGTACATATTCCTTTCTTGCCTTCCCCTAGCCAACTTGATATTTTAGGGTCAAGTTCTCATCTCTGGGCACCAAGAAACTGTTTTTCCTAACTCCTATTATGGTTTGGTTCCACCCACTGAAACAATGGGTCTTTTTTTTTTCCTCTATAGTCAAAAGGCCTTGTGTTTGGCCTCTGGAGTTCCAACCTGAACAGGTGCCAAAGCTCACGTCTTCCTGTTTTATTTTTTTTCCAAGTCAGCTTGAAGTCTACAACTGGTGGGGCGGGGAGGGTGTCTTGAGGAGGGCCAACGGGGAAGCTTGAGGGAATCCTAGATTGACAGATGCTCACAGGAGAGTCCTCTAGGTTTGTTAGCAGAAAAAGAAAAAAAAAAAAACGGAATTGTAGGCCAGGATCTGGGTCTGACCTGTGAGTGGGTTTGTCTCTCTAAGACCTTTCCTGTACCTTCTCCCAAATGAGATGAGACTAAAGTGAACCCACGCTCTATGGCTCCAATGCAGTGGCCGTCCTTTCCACGGCCCCTTCTTCGTGAAGTCCCTATCATCCCTTCTGGGCCCCAGCATGCACCCTCAGATGTCATTCATGCGGGGTATCATGTCCCCTTTTGACAATGAGCTCTTGGCTATATGTGTGGCCTTTTAGGCAAGTGGAATGGGTGGAAATTTTTGGCTACGTCTTTCTTTCTTTCTTTCTTTCTTTCTTTCCTTCTTTCTTTCTTTCTTTCTTTCTTTCTCTCTTTTTCTTCATTTCTCTCTCTCTTTCTCCCTTTCACTCTTTCCTTTCTTCTTTTCAAATATATTTGCCATTCCTGGGGCTTGAACTCAGGGCCTGAGTGCTGTCCTTGAGCTCTTGTGCTCACGGCTAATGCTCTACTTAAGCCACAGCTCCATGTCTGACTTTTTGTGGTTTATTGGAAACAAGGATCTCACAGAGCCAGGCGCTGGTGGCTCATGCTTGTAATCGTAGTTACTCAGAAGGTTGAGATCTGAGAATTGCAATTGGAAGCCAGCCTGGGCAGAAAAGTCCCCACGAGACTCTTATCTCCAATTAACCACTCTAAAAACTAGAGGTGATGCTGTGGCTGAAGTGGTAGAGCGCTTCCCTTGAGCACAAAGAGGCTCAGGGACAGTGCCAGGCATCAAGTTTAAGCCCCACAACTGACACCCCCCCCCAAAAAAAAGCCCAGGGGACAGTGCCTAGGCCCTGAGTTCAAGCCCGATGACTCACAAAAACAAAAAACAAAAGAAGAAAGTCTCACAGACTAGCTTTGAACATTGATTCTTCAATCTCAGCCTTCCAGGCTTGAGTCACAGGCACCTGGCATTGGTGAGGTCTTTTCCTGGGCCTCTTTGGTAACAGGAAGGGTAGAGTGTACTCTAGATTGTGAAACCCTTGACTCCCAGCTTTAGGAGTTTGGACGTTTGGACTTGTGTGTGCGTGTGAGTACGTGTAGTTGTGGGTGGGTAGGTGCTGGGGACACTAAAGGATTTAAGTGGAATGTGGCTGGTCAGAAATGTCTTTCAGGACACATATTCCAAGCTGATTTGTTGGGAAAATATACTTGAAAGACTCAGATCTAAGCTGGGCAATGAGAGGGTGCTGAGAACAGGGGGAAAAGAGCCAGAGCCAGGCACTTGCCTGAGACTTGGAGGAGGAGGAGGAAGAGGAGGAGGAGGAGCGGGAGGGGAAGGGGGAGGAAGAGGAGGAGGAGGAGCGGGAGGGGAAGGGGGAGGAAGAGGAGGAGGAGGAGGAGGAGGGGGACCCCAAAGGGGGTTCTGAGCTGTATCTGGGGTTCTGGGCTTAATTAGATGTCTTTAGTCCTAGGATAAGCATGAGGGTTAGGTGAGAGGCTGAGATGTCAGACTGGGTTTGAGGTATGTTAGACACCTGTGGACCATTGAGGCAGAACAACTACCTGGCATTGGGAAGAGCTTTGCCAAAGCTCCAGCAAGCCTGGGGTGGTAGGGGCCAGGGAGGAAAAGAGAGCCCAGAGGGTCTGGGAACTGAACTCAGGATGTGGGCACTGTCCCTGACACTTGAACCAGAGCTCCACTTCCAGCTTTTTTTTGGTAGTTTATTGGAAATAAGGCTCTCATGTATTTTCCAGCCCTGGCTGGCTTTGAACTGCCATCCTCAGATCTCAGCCTCCTGAGTAGCAAGGATTATAGGCATAAGCGCTGGTGCTAGGCTGGTTGTGTGCTCTTCTAGCTAAACATTTTCTCCCAGATTTAGACTTTTCAGACATATTGCCAGGTATTCTTAACCCTAGAGGGAGTGGGTGTCACATGCTAATTTACCAGGAAGTCTTGGAAAATGGAGGTAGTGAATTGATGAGGAGATGTAGACAGGGGAAAAGAAAAGGAAGAGCTTTTTTTCTTCTTTTGGTGGGGGGAACATAACAAGGAAGAGCAGGCAGATCAAAACACCTGCTATAAAAAAATTCTAACATTCATCAGGCACTGTTGGTCGGTAGTCCTAGCTACTCAGGAGGATGAGATTTGAGGCTCCAGGTTCAAAGCCAGCCTGGGCAGGAAAGTCCGTGAGACTCTTATCTCCAATGAACCACCAGGAAACCGGAAGTGGAGCTGTGTGGCATAAAGTGGTAGAGCGCTAGCCTTGAGCAAAAAAGTTCAGAAACAGTGTCCAGGCCCAGGATTGACAAGACCCAGGTTCAAGACTCAGGACTGACAAAATACCAAACAAAAACAAAAATTTCTAACATTCATCACAAACAAGTAAAAAGCACAGCACAAATGTAAAGTTTTGTGCCCTTCTCTGTCAGAAGGGGAGGAAGGAGACTGAGGGGAAAGGAGAGCACACTGTAAAAGGAAGAAGCTACATAATGGCTGCCAGGTGTACACTCCTGGGAAGGCATCAGACAGCTTAGAATTTCTTGGCCTAACAGGCAGGAACTTCCTGAACTGAGTCCCAGGGTCACAACAAATTGGAGAGAGACTCGACCAATGCGACTACCTTAAAATAAAAAGTTACTGCACAGCTAAAACTATAGCAACCAAGCTAGAAAGACAACTAACTAACTGGGAAAAATATTTACCAGCAATATATCAGACAAGGGATTAATATCCTGTATATACAGGGAACTCAAGAAACTAATCCCTCCCAAACCTAACAAACCAGTTACTAAATGGGCAAGGGAACAAAAGAGACTTCTCAGAAGAAGAGATAAAAATGGCAAAGAGGGGCTGGGAAGGTGGCTCAGTGGTAGAGTGCTTGCCTTGCCTGCCTGAGGCCCTGGGTTCGATTCCTCAGCACCACATAAGCAAAAAGAAAAAAGCTGGAAGTGGCGCTGTGGCTCAAGTGGTAGAGTACTAGCCTTGAGCTGAAGAGCTGAGGGACAGTGCCCAGAGTTCAGAGTTCGGCCCCACAACTGGACCAAAAAAAAAAGGCAAAGAAACACAGAAGGAAATGTTCACCATCCCTGGTTGTGAAGGAACTGCAAATAAAAACAACCCTGAGATACTATCTGACCCCAGTTAGAATGGCCCACATCCTAAAGTCAGCCAACGACAAATGCTGGAGGGGATGCGGAGAAAGAGGAACCCTATTACACTGCTGGTGGGAATGTACACTTATACAACCACTTTGGAAAGCAGTCTGGAGGATCCTCAGAAAGCTAAATATAGACCTCCCTTATGACTCAGTCATACCACTTCTAGACATCTGTCCTGAACAACAGGAACCAGTATACAAGGACACATGCACCTCCATGTTTATTGCAGCACTGTTCACAATAGCCAGGATACGGAAACAAAAATGGCACATGGTCTCCCTGATAAATGGATGTTAAATCCAAAATGTAAGGTGATAGGACAAAATTAACAAGATTTAAGAAACAAAGGACCTCCACTCATCTGGTCGAATCATTACTAAATAACCCCTATGCTGCTGATCACATATATGGTATATATGTGCACACCGGAGGGAAGCCAGGAGGACCACACAGAACTAGAGGGAATCAGGGAAAAACACAACAGTGGGACCCATCAGCTGCACTGGACATTGACCAAAATGAACTTAAGCAACTCAATGGCAGTAATGGAAGGGAGGGAACAAGTGGGAAAGAGGAAACAGCTGATGCTCTGCAAAACAAAAGAAATGTACACACCACCCAATGTGGAAGAAATAACTACTGAAAAGCTCATAGAACTCATAAATGTTATAGACCGTGATAGACAATTTGCTCCAGGAAAGTTAGAATGTGTTTGTGACTTTAACTAAGCATTACTATCCCACAATGCTGTGAAATTTAGGAAATTATGTAATCACTTAATCACAATAAAGAATTAAAAAAAAAAATTTCTTGGCCTAGCCAGGTGCCAGTGGTTCACGCCTGACATTGTAGCTACTCAAAAGGCTGAGATTTGAGGATCACGGTTCCAAGCCAACCCAGGCAGGAAAGGCCCTGAGATTCTTATCTTCAGTCAACAACCAAGGAAACAAAAAGCCAGAATTTGAGCTATGACTCAATGCTAGAGTGCTAGCTAGGCTTGAGCACAAAAGCTCAGGGACAGTGTCCATACCCTGAGTTCAAGCCCCAGGACTGGTAAAAATAAAGTAAATAAAAAGTAAAATCTTGGGTATGGCTCAACCAGTACTGACCCTAGTATTGACTCAAAATATATTTTTAAAAATTGAAATCCATAAGTCTTACCTTAGACTAGCAGAATATCTGAAACTCTGGTGTTGGAGGCCTGCTCTTCTGGAAGGCAGGGGCATCCATTATTGCTTGTAGCTTCTACATTTGGGGGTCCTGCTCCCCTCTCTGTAAGCCAGCAGTGTGGCCTAAGATCTTCCTCTCTCTGGGGCTGCGGTAGGGGGCCCCCAAGTGGGGAGGCCCAAGAGTGGGTGATCACCTGCAGGCCTTTGTGAAACAAGCCCTCCACCTCTGACTCGCATTTTCCTTCCATGCTTCAGGTGCTGCGTGTCCCCACCCATTTCCCCTCAGCAAGGGCTTTTTTCATTTCTGTCTCTGTCCTCAAGGGGTGGGGTGGGGAAGGGAGGTTTGGGGACAGTGAGCTCTGGGGAGGGGACAGGGGCAGTCAGCCGCAATTCCTTCCAAGTCACTCAGCTTCCCTGGGCCTTCAGGTGACACTTAGCTGGTCGAGATGCTGTCCTGCGTGCGTGCGTGCGTGCGTGTGTACGTGCGTGCGTGTGTACGTGCGTGCGTGCTCTGGTCTTCCTGAAACCTGGGGGCCCAGAGCCAGGCTTGGATAGGAGCCACCTCATCTACCAGTAGTGTAAGTGGAGGATCTTGTTTTGTTCCCTAACTTAGATAAGGATGCAGAAGGTTTTTTGTTTGTTTGTTTGTTTGTTTGTTTTGCCAGGCCTGGGGCTTGAACTCAGGGCCTGGACACTGTCCCTGAGCTTCTTCTGCTCAAGGCTAGCACTCTACCACTTGAGCCACAGTGCCACTTCTGGCTTTTCTGTGTATGTGGTACTGAGGAATCGAACCCAGGGCTTCCTGCATGCGAAGCAAGCACTCTACCACATTCCCAGCCCCAAGGAGTTTTACGGTTGACTTTCGGGGAGATCCAGAAGTGAGGGGAGTCCGGTGCTTCCCTCTTCATTTGTCACCATGACAAAACCACTTGTCCACACCCGACTCGAGTCTTCTTATCTGAAAAATTTTGGATTTGAGCTGGTGCCATGTTCCTACTTGCTCTCAAATCCTAATTTTGTGGTTTGTTGCTGTGGAGCCCTGATTTTTCTTTTTTCTTCTTTTTTGCCAGTCCTGGGGCTTGAACTCTGCCTGGACACTGTCCCTGAGCTCCGTTTGCACAAGAGTAGGGCTCTACCGCTTGAGTCACAGCATTACTTCCAGCTTCTTTGAACAGTTAATGGGAGATAAGAGTCTCAAGGACTTTCCTGCCCCTGCTGACTTTGAACCACAGTTCTCAGATCTCAGCCTCCTGAGTAGCTAGGATGACAGGCGTGAGCCACCAGAACTGGGCTTTTCTTTTTTTCTTTTTTTTTCTGTTGGTCGTGGGGCTTGAACTCTTAAGCCTGGGCGCTGTCCCCTCAGGTCTTCAGCTCAAGGCTAGTGCTCTACCATTTGAGCCACAGTGCTACTTCAGGCTTTTTCTGCTTATGTGGTGCTGAGGAATCGAACCCAGGGCCTCATACATACAAGGCAAGCGCTCTACCACTGAGTCGCCTTCCCAGCCCCTGGGCGTCTTTTTCTCTTTTGTCACACATGTCTGCCTCCTCCCCCAAAGAACAAGTTGTGTTCCTATCTTTTATCAAACATCTCAGTTTCAGGGGACTGAAACAGTCTCTGGAGCCAGGGGTTCCCACTGGCCCTGGGAAGGAGCATCCCCATGAGTGTCCAGACTCTCTCGCTTTGGCATTGACATTGATTCTTCCAGCTACTCTGCAGCCTAGCCCTCAATATCACATCCAGTGGTAAATTTCCTGGCTAGTTCTGTCCTGTGTTTTCCTGACACAAATAGCAGGAAGTTCTTTTCACACAGCCACCATGATGCTTCATGTTTTTCCTTTCCCCAGAGAGGTCAATGGAACTTCAGGGCTCAGAGAGATCACGTGCATACTGTGGCCCCCATCATTCCTGTACTGTGGGGGATTGTAGTCTTTTTTTTTTTGGTCGGTCGTGGGACTTGAACTCTGGGCCTGGGTACTATCCCTGCACGCTTCAGCTCAAGGTGAGCGCTCTACCACTAAGCCACGGTACCACTTTCGGTTTTCTGGTGGTTTATTGGAGAGTCTCATGGACTTTCCTGCCAGGCTGGCTTTGAACTGTGATCCTCAGATCTCAGCCTCTTGTGTAGCTAGGATGACAGGTGTGAGCCACCAGCACTCTACTGGGATTGTAGTCTTTAAAACATTTTATTGGTGGATGCTAATTGAGCAAATGGGTTTCATTGTGATGTTCAGACATGCACATAGTGTGTGTGTGTGTGTGTGTGTGTGTGTGTGTGTATGTGTATGTGTGTACGTGCACATTCCAGTCCTAGAGCTTGAAGTCAGGGTCTGGGTCCCTGAGCATTTTCACTCAATGATGGTACTCTACCACTTGAGCCACTGCTCCATTTCTGGCTTTTTGGTGACTAATTGGAATCTCACACTTTCCTTCCCAGGCTGGCTCTGAACTGCAATCGTCAGGTCTCAATCTCCGGAGTAGTTTACAGGATTAGCCACTTGCATCTGGCATATAATGTGTTTTGATCAACTTCATGGGGTATGTTATGGGTTAGTTAATAATGTCTGCAGAAACCGGGTGCCAGTGGCAAGGGCCTGCAATCCTAGCTACTCAGGAGGCTGAGATCTGAGGATCAGGGTTCAAAGCCAGCCTGGTCAGGAAAGTTTGTGAGACTCTTATCTCCAATAAAACACTAGAAAATCAGAAGTGGTGCTGTGGCTCAAGTGGTAGAGTGCTCACCTTGAGCTGAAGGGTGCAGGGACAGCGCCCAGGCCCAGAGTTCAAGCCCCACGACAAACCAAAAAAAAAAAAAAAGTCTGAGGAGCACTCCTAACATATAAAGGTTAACCCATTATAATAGAGTCCTGATATCTTTTTCTTTTTACTCTCAGCCCTGGGGTTTGAACTTACACTTTCTAGGCAAGTGCTCTACCACTTGAGCGACATCCCTTGGTTCTTTTTACTTTGGGCTGGCCTTGAGCCACAATTTTCACACTAGGGTTCATAAGAATCTAGAATTCCAGGCAGGAGCCACTGCACATCCGGCTCTTAATGCCTTTTGTGTCACTCACCCAAGAGTTTAGGGTGTTGCTCTGAGTGTGTGTGTGTCGTGTCTGGGTGTGTACTTGCTCATAGAGTGTGGTGGGGTTAATAGTGGTTGATGCCAAGAGGAAATGTTTCAGGAGCCAGGTATACTCTACGTTTCTGCCTTAATTTGTATGCAGGCTAGTAACTTGAGGTGTCAGAGGCTGATAAAATGTTCCACCTTGTATTATGTTGGGCGTGGATTAGCATGAGAGGGTGGAGACGGCGAGGATGAGCTGCCTAACTTTTCCTCAACACCTGAAGGTGAGGACCCAGAAAGTGGGTGTCGGCGGTTGAGCCCTCACTAGCCACCCTTGGATTTATGAATGGGACCTCAGAGAATTTAAGGGTTTCTGAGATAGGAGATATCATGCAATTCAGAAAAGACTAGGGACAGGTTGAAAGCAGTTATCTGGTTAGCTTTTTTTTTTTTTTTTTTTTAGATTTTAGACATTCTGATTTGTTTTGGTGCCATTCCTGGGGCTTGAACTCAGAGCCTATACACAGTCCCTGAGCTTCTTTGTGTTCAAGGCTTGTGCCCTGCCACTTGAGCCACAGTGCTATTTCTCACCTTTCCCGAGTAATTTGAGAGGAGAGTCTCATGGTGTTAGGCTTTATTAGAATTTGCCAGAAAACCACGCAGACATCCAGGCACAAACAACAAAGGAAAGGTTTACTGCCCATAAAGGACCAGCAAGACCCCTTCTCACAAGAGAGAAGAAGCGCCGGCTATTGTCTCAGGTGACCTATTGGAGGCGGAGACCCCTGTGTGAGAGTGCGGACCAGGGGCTTCATCATGGCTGCTGCCCAAGTAACAGATAAGCTGCCCAGACCTGCAGGTCACTCTAAGGGGATTGTGCGGCCTTACATGGTTGTAACTGCTCCAGAGGCCTGCCATCTCAGGGTGAAGGGGGTGGAGGCCGATCAGTTATTCTCTTTTCTAAATGGACTTAGTGTTGCCTAGGAAAAGAGCATGCTAAGTTATGAAAGAGGCTGCTGGGCTTTCCTGCCCGGGCTGGCTTTGAACTGCAATCCTCAGATCTTAGCCTCCTGACTAGCCAGAATGAAAAGCGTGAGCCACCTGCACCTGGTTGGCTGTTTATAAAAACATTAGCACGGAGATGGCTGGGCCATCTGGGCCTTGCAGAGCTGTCTCTAGGGAGCTATAATTATTTTGTTTAGACCGGGATGTTAGGCAGTGGCTAAGCGTGGGGTAGGGAGAAAGACACAGGCAGTGCTCAGACCAGCTAGTGCCATGTTTAAGTTGTGTCTCCTCTTGGCACACCAGGGGCCAGGGGAGCCTCTCTGGGCCTTTTCCCATCCTAAGACTCCTGCCACCCTTTTGTGATAGTGTTCTCTCTTCCAGTACTGCCTGTGATGCTCATTGTAGCCCACTGAACTTGTTGTTGTTTTTTTAATCGGTCGTGGGGCCTGACTTCTGGGCCTGGGCGCTGTCCCTCAGCTCTTCAGCTCAAGGTTAGCACTCTACCACTTGAGCCACAGCGCCACTTCCGGCTTTTTTTCTGCTTTTGTGATGTTGAGGAATCGAACCCAGGGCCTCATGCATGCAAGGCAAGCACTCCACCACTGAGCCACCTTCCCAGCCCTGAACTTGGGTTTTAACCTGAGTCCTGTTGTAACCCTCTGACCAGCCCAGCTACTCTCTGAGTACACTTCAGCCTTGGGGGTAGAGGAGAGAGTCCAGTCACTGTGTGTTTAGGCCCTTCAGGATCTGGTAGACCATACCTGGATTCCAATCCACTCTGTCCTTTATTGACTGTGTGGCCTTGGACAATTGACTTAAACTATGTAAGCCTCAGTGGCCACATCTGTAAAATAGTAATAGCTAATATGGCTAGGTATAGTAGCTCACATCTATAATCCCAGCTATTTACGAGGCAGAGATCTAGAGGATCACACTTTGGGACCGGACCAGATAAATATTATCAGGATTCCCGTCTTAATCAATAAGCCAGGCAGGGGAGCACATATCTGTAATCCCAGGTGCAAAGGCGCGGGTGGGGAGTGGGGGAGGGATTGTTGTCTGAGGCTGTCCCCAGGCAAAAACTCAAGACCCTACCTGAAAAATTCCTGAAGCAAAAAAGAGCTAAGTTCATGGCCCAAGTGAAAGAGCAC